GAAAGGCAAAATCATCAGAGTCAGCGGACATGTCTAAGACAAGCTTGAATATGCTGCCGTCGTCCTTATCGCCTTCCAATTTTGCAACACCGACACCGACAAGTCCGACGAAAATCTGTTCAACAAAATGAACGACACGTACGGCTTTTCTTCGTACAATTGTGTTTTCTGACCAGTCACGTTACTGCATTGCAATTGTTGATGGACATGTATATCGACGATGTCGTGAACGACAACAACAACACCAGGGCCAGTTGATATTCCAGCATGACAATGCACGTCCTCGCGCAGCAAGAGTGGTACAGGGCATGACGCAACAAGCTGAAGTCAATGTGATGAATTGGTCTTCCTGTTCACCAAATTGAACTAGACACATGCTTACAGATGTCCCGAAATAAAGTCAGCCTCCACAGGTCAAAGCTAAATAGTATTTAGTCCCAGTGCAGTCACACGCATAGTATTTGTCAGATACATCAACACATTCTGTTCATCATTTGTACATTATCTTGGTATTATCAATATTTATGATAATCATGTGAGACGCAGTTCATTACTAAATGTTTCTTCCTTCCTCTCCTTATGCGATAGAACACACATTTCTGGAAAATAACATCAACACATTAATACTTGTATCTAGACTAGATTAATTTTATTGACTTTGGTCTCCTCTGGGAAATGTTACCCGGCTTTTAAAAGGAGTATTGATCGGTTTATATGATATGTTCCAGTTTCTGGCATTGTCGACACTTGTCTACCCGTTTCTTCCTCTCCATCGGTCGGAAAGCTATGTTTGCGGAGTTTCTTGTAATTAGGGACGAATGACAGATTGCTGTTTGTATAAGACGTAATTGTCACATAAGTTGAAACGTTAGTTACTGGTCGAACAGACTGACAAAAGTATCTAAATATGTGCTTGAAGAACTTCGAAGTATAAAAGAAAGATTTGTTATCCCATGATTGTATATAATAGCTACACACGGTAATTCTCAAATAAATTGGAACAAAATTGCTGTACTCAAGACAAACATTGTATTATAGATTTATTCCATTCCTATGGAAGAAATGTGACTGAAACACATTTAATTCAAGTACATATTGATCTGTAACTTCTCATAGACGGCTAGGCCCGTATTGTGCAGAAGGCTGCTGGCTTCTGAAACGCAGAACAGGAACTGGATCGTCTTCTTACAATGATTTCCAGATTCTTCGTATTTCTATTCTGGGTTGTCTTATCGATATCGTTCCATAACATCAAAGGTGATCATATCAAAATGTGTTACTTTAGCTTGTGTTTCTATAAATTTCATTCTGGTGGACATTTTATAGATTGTCCAGAATTTTTTAAGTCTGTATGAATACATGTTATAAAGTTTGAAAGGAGGTGTTTGTGTTTGGAAACAAGACATTTGAATCGTGACATGTCTTGCTGACTTACATTTCCATCTGTGTTTAGCTTCGCTACACATAACGTCACCTGGAGACTGGAAGTTCATCAACACCTCCCGGTATGGCGTCGATATCAGGTCGTGCACGACGATCCCACTGCAGATCAAGGCCTGTGACCAGGCACATGTGTGGTTTGGGGACGGAACACCCACCAACTCCTATGAGATTGGTACCTGGAGGAGGGCAGAGACCGGCTTCAGACAGTGTAGTGAATGTTACAGCACACAGATATTCTTCCTAAATCCACGAGGCATACACTGCGATGAATTCAGGTAAGATCACTGGATGAACTGCACAGATTACCAACACTGAAATGATTATGTATTTTTTCAAATATTTAGAATATTAGATCTTTACATGTTTAAATACCACAATCTGTTTGTTTTTTTCGATACGTAAGTTCCGAAACATTTAAAGTAAATTTCAACTTACCAGCTGCTTTAAACGTAGTATTTTTGTTCTTTTAATGTTTGGCTAAACTCGACTACAATCGCCAGGGATGATATAAATCACCTAGGGTCCATGCAGGTAGCAAAGGTACTGTAAGTCCCCATGGTCCCTAGTATGGTGATATACCTTCAGTTGTTGGCGATCAATTGCCCATTTTTACATTGTATTGTCCAAAAATAATTTTCTACTTTTAAAGATATATGCTAGCTAGTTTTAACTTATTTTGTGATAATCTAGTAATTTTACTGTCCTTCGTTGACAGGGTTTTATATATCATATGTATGTATAATGAATTTAGAACTAGCTTTAGTCACGATATGGCTGAAATATTGCCGATGTGACTTTAAATCTTAACTCACTCACTCACCCACTGTAAATATTTTTCAAATATTTGGAGTATTTTATTTTTTAATATGTTTGAATACCACAATTATATTAATCATAGTTTTGTTACAATGTTTATGCTAAATTGTGTCCACCTCTAAGTATTCAACAGAAATGAAGATAAAACTTCAACGCCTGGCTTATCCAGATTCCATTTTGACCCAGAAGGCCAAATAACGTTGAGAATCTATACACATTAATCGCTAAAAATCAGCCATGACACTAGATATTAGCGAAAAGATGTTAGGCCCTACCGGTATCATCGTCACTCACTCAATTTGCACATAAGGTATTTGGTCCCTAAAACCTACAGCTGGAATGCGCCCCTGAAAAATCAAGGGAAGAAATGTTTAAGAAATACGTTCGTTTTGCAACATCCTGCAGTTGCCAGGGTGTTTGTTTATCCAACTAAAGAATCTACATATATACACCTGTCATCATGATTTCGTCGTCACACTACAGTCCGTTTGAGTCAGAAACGGACCGATGAATTGCAAATTTTATCATTGTACAAAATTGCCACATAAATATAAATAGTACACATGTTTATCATTTACTAATACCCAACAGCTTTCTTATATTTGAAAATTCTCCGAACTCCACCAAAACAGTTCTTTAAGAAACTATCATTAAAATTTTGACACAGTTCACTATTTGTTACGAGGGAGGAGTGCAGAGAAAGGGACAGCCAGGTGTTAGAGAAGCACGTGCACAAGTGCCTACCAAGTTATTGATTCATTAGCCTGTGCTGTGCCGTCTCCATCCTTTCTCTCATTGGCATGTCACAGACTAAAATAGAAACGCTCACATTACCTGCCATCGGGCAAGCGATATAGCATTAGGTATATGAGCGGGTTAAAATTAAGTAAGTACAGCTGAAATGGAAACATAAATGCAGCTACTCCGACAATATACAAAAAGAATAAATGATCTGTGATACTCTTTCACAATGTATACATATTGAATTAAAAAATTACATTGCATTGTACTTTTCATAGATTCATATTGAGTGTTCCAAAGATTTGAAAACATTCGATCAAGGTATGTTTTGTTGAGCAAACTTGCCATAGGAATTGTCAGAGTTCAACATGTGTTAATTATGATTATTCTTGACAAATTATGAATATCTTTATCAAATTGCACTGCACCTTTTCTACAAACACAACGACGCCATTACCCAAATCTTCCAAAACAATCCAGTAAATGATTACACACATGGTTGAACACATTTGTCGAGGACATTTTCTCGTGTTTAAGAAATGTAAATTGTGATATTTTTTTTACAGATATAAAGATCATACTAAAACTAGATATGGAAGGGGATCCCCAAATTAGAAAGCAATCCCATACACTATGTTCATGTTTTTGGTTAAACAAAAATTCCCATGGTCTTTCTTGAATTCAAAATGTGTAAATTGACGTAACCTTTGCAAAATATTTAAATCGGAACCAAACTTTGCATTGCACCTCTACTTTAGACAAAAAGCTGTTTTCAAAATATCGACCAATACTTTTCAGGTTATTGATTGAACAAATCTTTCTAAGATCAAATTTGTAAATTGCTGTAATTATTGAATCATAATGAACATTTTCACTGCACCTTTCACGCATGCAAACAAGTCACGAGGTCATGTCTGTAATTACTAATTATAAGAAAGCCACTACACGATTCCGACCAAATTACAAGCATGATAATGATACCTGGTATTTATCGGAAAGGCGACATCAAACCCGTTCTGTGAAACCCATCAACTGACAGAAAAAACACGATGAGAAATGAACGTCAAAGCGGTGAAAGGCAGTGACACGTGTTTGAAACATGATGCTAAATATAGAGATGTTTACAACATAACACCTTCCAGACAGCTTTACTTAGGTTTTGAATGTTGTAATCCAGTTCATATCAACATTTGAACAAGTCATATGAGTCATGTAATATTAGTCGTATTATATAAGACATATCACACTGTTTTCAGATAGTGAGTTTAGTTTTACGCCGCCTTTAGCAATATCACGGCGGGAGAAACCAGAAATAGGCGTCACACATTCTACCCATGTGGGGAATCGAACCTGGGTCTTCGACGGGACGAGCGAACGCTTTAACCGCTACTCTACCCAGACCGCCTGTCAGACAGAGCTTGACCAGAAATGTTGACGACAAAGTTTGGAGCTCCTGGACTGTCGCTTAACACAAAGCGAGAGATAACGATTGGAAATATGAAGTCTTTGCTCTTGTACTGCGGATATTTTGATTACTCACGTTCTATCTTAACAACATATGGTACGGATTTACAACTTTTTTATCATTTACAACACTTCTATCTATTTCTATCTAAACATGAAATAGATGAGGAGGTTTCACTGGTCCCCGTTTGGTTTTGTTAAGATGGGAATTGGCCATTTGATCAATTTTAACACCTGAGACTTCAGTTAAACATAACTAAAGTTATTCAAAATGAAGAAGTTGACATCCATAAATCTTGCTTTTCTTATGCATTCCACATCTAACTGCCCTTCAAAGAGTTAAACATCTTGTTGTAAAGAAACATTTCTGTAAGACGTGTAAGAGTACAATTTGTGCCCGTGGCAATGCCTGCTTCTTGCTTAAGTGTCTAATCCCCTATCTTCTCATAAGGGAGTGTCCACGTACGTACAAGCCCTTATGCAAACAGAAACGGAGGTACCATGGAGACATTAGGTGATCATTTGTTTGCCCCGTTATGAGGTTGGGCGGCTGACGGTTGCTTCTGTATGGTAAATGTTCCTTAAGCTGATTGCTATTTTTGATCGGATGAAAATGATCGAACACAAATGTTAAAATCCCGTGATTAAAGTTAATATTGACACGACAGGGTATGCTTTCACTGAAAGTGGTTGTAAACGACTCGTCTTGTTTGAAATACATTGGTGTTACCGATGTAGGCCATTAATGTATTGATGTAGAAAGTAGAGTTTCAGAAACGTTAATGTGATAGCGAAAATTTATGTCGCATATTCATGATGTCGATTATCTCATGTAGCAAAGCTACGAACGGCACTCTTCTCGACACTCATAGTTTTGATTCCCAATTTTTAACGATTAGAAAATCAGTTTGTAAAAGTAGAAATGTGAGATGTGATCAATAGGAATCAGAACAAAGGAATTACAATGGCAATACAAATGCACTGGCAAAATAATGGAAAAGCATTGATTAGAGCAATAAAGACAGCGCTGATAATGTCCATCTAAGTACAACATAATAAAAAAAAGCGTTGATTAGAGCAATAAAGACAGTGCTGATAATATCCATCTCACTGCAACATAATGGAAAAGCATTGATTAGAGCAATAAAGACAGCGTTGATAATATCCACCTCAGTACAACATAATAAAAAAAAGCGTTGATTAGAGCAATAAAGACAGCGCTGATAATATCCACATCAGGAAAACATAATGGAAAAGCATTGGTTAGAGCAATAAAGACAGCGCTGATAATATCCATCTCACTGCAACATAATGGAAAAGCATTTATTAGAGCAATAAAGACAGCGTTGATAATATCCATCCCTGTACAACATAATGGAAAAGCATTGATTAGAGCAATAAAGACAACGTTGATAATATCCACCTCACTGCAACATAATGGAAAAGCATTGATTAGAGCAATAAAGACAGCGCTGATAATATCCACCTCATTACAACATAATGGAAAAGCATTGGTTAGAGCAACAGAGACAGCGCTGATAATATCCACCTCAGTACAAAATAATGGAAAAGCATTGATTGGAGCAATAAAGACAGCGCTGAAAATATCCACATCAGGACAACAAAATGGAAAAGCATTGATTAGAGCAATAAAGACAGCGCTGATAATATTCACCTCAGTACAACATAATGGAAAAGCATTGATTGGAGCAATAAAGACAGTGCTGATAATATCCACATCAGGACAACGTAATGGAAAAGCATTGATCAGAGCAATAAAGACAGCGCTGATAATATCCACCTCAGTACAACATAATGGAAAAGCATTGATTAGAGCAATAAAGACAGCGCTGATAATATCCACATCAGTACAAAATAATGGAAAAGCATTGATCAGAGCAATAAAGACAGCGCTGATAATATCCACCTCAGTACAACATAATGGAAAAGCATTGCTTGAAGCAATAGAGACAGCGCTGATAATATCCACCTCAGTACAACATAATGGAAAAGTATTAATTAGAGCAATAGAGACAGCGCTGATAATATCCACCTCAGTACAACATAATGGAAAAGCATTGATTGGAGCAATAAAGACAGCGCTGATAATATCCACATCAGGACAACATAATGGAAAAGCATTGATTGAAGCAATAAAGACAGCGCTGATAATATCCACCTCAGTACAACATAATGGAAAAGTATTAATTAGAGCAATAGAGACAGCGCTGATTATATCCACCTCAGTACAACATAATGGAAAAGCATTGATTAGAGCAATAAAGACAGCGCTGATAATATCCACCTCAGTACAACATAATGGAAAAGCATTGATTAGAGCAATAAAGACAGCGCTGATAATATCCACCTCAGTACAACATATGGAAAAGCATTGATTAGAGCAAAAAAGACCGCGCTGATAATATCCACATCAGGACAACATAATGGAAAAGCAATGATTGAAGCAATAAAGACAGCGCTGATAATATCCACCTCAGTACAACATAATGGAAAAGTATTAATTAGAGCAATAGAGACAGCGCTGATAATATCCACCTCAGTACAACATAATGGAAAAGCATTGATTAGAGCAATAAAGACAGCGCTGATAATATCCACCTCAGTACAACATAATGGAAAAGCATTGATTAGAGCAAAAAAGACAGCGCTGATAATATCCACCTCAGTACAACATAATGGAAAAGCATTGATTAGAGCAATAAAGACAGCGCTGATAATATCCACCTCAGTACAACATAATGGAAAAGCATTGATTAGAGCAAAAAAGACAGCGCTGATAATATCCACCTCAGTACAACATAATGGAAAAGCATTGATTAGAGCAATAAAGACAGCGCTGATGAAACCACCTCACTGCAACAGTGGTCAAGCATAAAAATACCCCTCAGCTAAATATCCAGGGAGAGATGTGATCTTCACACATCTATTGGTCTGTTTGAAATGTAAGATCACTGTGAGACTAGAGTTAGCTGTTTGTACATTAAAACTTTCCTGAACTTTCTCTAACTCTCTGGGTCAGACTACACTGGAATATTCCGGAATAGGCCTAGGAATGTCCAGCATAGTTTTAACAGTCTTGGTATGATAAACGACACATCGCTGGCCTCTACCGAATCTGAACAGAAACACTGTAACACAAGTACAACCCTGCCAGACTGCCATATAACACTATGTGCTGAAAGAATATATCCTATTGTGTGTCTGGATGAATCTGAAACGCGTTCAGCGGATTTGTAAAATTCACTCGATACCCAACGCATAAACATGCAACATTGGAAGCAGCGACGACTGAGTGGCGATGGCTGATGGTGATTAGGTGCCGGACTCTGAGAGTGTGGATTCAAATCCCGGATGGGACTCAACCTATCAAAAATACTAGAATCGGTACTTTACTGAGACAGTGTTATCCCAAATATAACATTTGTTACATCTTGACCACTTTCTAAGGATTGTGTACTAACATGCAGTTTCGAAATACCTTACAACAAACTTGTGTTAACTTTGTATTTTTACTTGCTGAGCTACAAATATTTTCAGGTGGTTCTGGTTCCGGTGGGGTGAAGGTCGTCTGAAGTTCGGTGAAGGTCGCATTGGTGGTTTGCAGCTGGTGTTTGATGAACCAATCAACAGACCCATTGAGGTGTTCAGCGTGTCATCATATTTATATACGGTGGAGTACATTCTGGGTAGGTTCTTCCTCTATTCCTTCTTCATTGAGTAAGTTAATGAGTTAATGATATGGTCAGTTTCACCACACACACATTATATATAATTATATATATAAAGGCATTCGGTTTTTATTTATTTATGTGATATATATAACTATATATAACTATATATATACGCACAAAATGTTCAAAATAGTCCAGGTGTTCAGTCATAAATATCACATAGATAAATAAAGACAGAATGCCTTTTTCTCCAACATGTTCGTTACTCTTCAGGGGAGAGGGGCGGTGGGGTAGCCTAGTGGTTAAAGCGTTGGCTCCTCACGCCGAAGACCCGGGTTCGAATTCCCACATGGGTACATTGTGTGAAGCCCATTTCTGGTGTTCCCCGCCGTGATGTTGCTGGAATATTGCTAAAAGCGGCGTAAAACCAAAACTCACTCAGTCAGTCAGCTTCAGAGAGATTTGTGTGTGTGTGTGTGTGTGTGTGTGCGTGTGTGTGCATGCGCGCGCGCGCACACGTACACGTATTATATATATATGTGATATATGTGTGTGTGTGTGCGCGCGCGCACACGCACACACGCACGCACGCACACACGCACACACACACACACACACACACACACACATACATTACCCGTGAAGACCTGGGTTAGAATCGGTCTCCAGCAACCCATGATTGTGGTAGGAGGCGACGAATGGGAACGGGTGGTCCGGCTTGCCGACTTGGTTGACACATGTCATCGTATCCCATGGTATCAATCACTGCATTTTCAGGTTCAGACTTGGTTATTTACATACCTCCGTATGAAGCTAAAATATTGTTCAGTACGGAGTTAAACAACAAACAAACATACAGTCAAAAACAACAGATAACAACACATATGTACCGAAAACATGGTAGAATGTGTGTGTGTGCGTGTGCGTGTGTGTGTGCGCGCGCGCGCGCGTGTGTGTGTGTGTGTGTGTGTAAACATGGTAGAATTTGCAATGTTAGCGTAAGGGACACACATGATGGTATATTTCTTGGTGGCTGGATCTAACAGACTTAATGGATCTCTAATGACATCATCAAGAACAGGAATATGTCAATAAGAGGGTTAATTGTGGCGAATACGAACGTTACTTAAGAATTTCTTGTTCCTCTTTACAGTTTCTATTTTAATGGAAAATCCGCAAAACTGGAAGACTGTTCTAAATCTTCCATAATGGATAAGCTTATATCTAACATAAACACAGTGATGAGTATTGTCCGAAACAATCACGGTCAATGAATCGCTCAATCTTATCAAGACCAGGATCGGAATATGTTAATAAGAGAAATGATTGTTACGTGTCACACACTCAAGAATTTCAACAACACATCTTATTCCTCTTTACAGTTTTTATTTGAATGGAAAATCCGCCAGACTGGAAGACCATTGTAAATCTTCCATAATGGATCGTCTTATATCTGAACAAACAAAGACGACGTATATGCTATTGAAAGGCCCTGCAGGTTGGAGTATCAGACTACTATAGTTGAAATCTCCTTGGCACTTGGTGGGTCAAACCACATTTTTGAAATACCTGTGGGCACTTTCGTCCGTATTTCTGACAAATGTCTTCTAGAGTATTTAAACTGCATCATTTATTGCGTGATCCCTTCGGGGCAAAGGCTGGAAGCAGTTACGTCCTTATTCCTGGCAAATATATATTCATCATGCGTAACTTTTTGAGTATTTAAAGTGCTATATATATTTGCGTGTCCGCCTCGGGACAAGAAGTTGGAAGCAATTGTTGAAGTCATTATTTCACACATAATGACTGATCAATAGCATCAGCCGGTGCTATGTCCACATGGTGTATGGTCTCAAAGACATACAGTAAAAAGCGCTGGTTTGTGATGACGACATAGAAAAACAAGTCGATAAAGTTTTTTCCTGTATTCAGTATTCAAATGACGCTCACAGACAGTATAGAAACAGCGGACAAAGAAGTATGAATTGACGCATGAGTTGGGTTGTTCATGACGAAGTAATAGATAAAGGCTGAATGACAGTCCTGTCTGTCCTACGACACAGACAAACACCCATGACCGGTAGACAATTTACTTAGCATGTTATGCATTAAGGTACATAACTTTTCCAGATATATCTTCTCAAAAGCGGTTGTGTCTGTGGACCTAGTCGATCCATATCGTTATGTTATCATTCAACACCCTGGGAATGTAGAACTCAACCTGACTGCATCCGCTACAAGGCTTTTGCATCTTTGCATCTTTAACCATTCCGCGCTGAGTGAACAGAAGCACAATCGACGTCATCTTCCCAGGAAGGCATGACTTGTTTTGACAGCTTCGTTTTTATGAACACATTCGAGTTTTACAATCATAGTTGGCCCGTACGCTAAATAACAACTTTGTCACAAGTGGGATACGCATTCAGCCCTTAGTGTTGCTCCACCCGGCTCCAAGGTATGACGTGATATGTTCGCACAACCAGCACTTCATTTGTCCCCAAACTCAAGGCTAATTTATGTCTACATCTCTCGAGGTACAACAACATGAGCAACACAGCAGCGAGTGTAGCGGACAGAGTTTATTTCAGGATAGAAATGCATTGCCTTACTCATGTACTCAAATGGCATTTGGTCCAGAGCTTCTAGCTATGCTGCAAGTTCCAATGAAGACATTGGAAACTGAAAATATTGGGAAATCAACTGACAAACTGCTTTAGGGGGATGATAAGCATCGTCCACAGTAAACTCCTCACAGTACTTGGCAATCATAACTCTAACTATACATTTTTGTTTGCAGGTGAGGGGTATGAGTCGCTGTATGGAGTAGCTAGCCGAACTGGGAGGTACTCCGATGGGCTGTTGTACGAGACCAAGGCTTGGAGTGGCTTACACTGTGGCATACAGTGTCAGGCACACGGAAACTGCCACATGTATAGCTACAACAAACAGCAGGCTATCTGCGCCCTCTACAACAGAGAAATGGCATCATTCAGCATGACGTCTGAAAATGGATGGGTTTCGTACCAGCTTCGTTATTGCGACTGACCCCTTTGTTCTGATTAGTTGGCAAATTATTAGTGATGGATCTCTCCATTGACCCATGTAACATACATAGAGACTACAGACTATGTTGTATATTAGTTGTATTCCTGCATATATAACACCAGGAAAAAGGTTCAGTACCCTGGTATTTATTACAAAGTGGTATGTGTCTGTAGTGTACAGTGCATTAGTATAGTTGTGTTACCTGCTACAAGCATGTAGTTTGAAAGAGGATCAAGCAAGGTGGCGTGTCTAATGAAACAAAAACAGCCATTCATTTGTAATCACTATCTTGTATACCCTCCACGTGCTTGGATAACTGCCTGAACCTACGTCGCATACCCCCGACTCTCGTCGCATCCGTTGCAAAGGAATATGTCGCCATTCTTGCTGCAAAGCTGCTTCCAACTCACGGGCTTGTATCCGTTGCTCGATGCAGTCTCACATCGGATCAATTTAGCTAAGGTCTGGACTCGTGGATGGCCTTGGAAATACGAGTGAAAGATATCACAAGATGTCTGGTGTATCATCCGTTAATACAGGCCTTGTAGCAAGAGGATGATTATCAATATTGGAGACAAGAACTGGCTCCAGAACGTCTTGGATATACTGTTCACCCGTCATATTCCCTCATATTGTCACCACATCAAGTTTACAGTCATGAGATACACATCCTAACACCATGATTGGACCTCCACCAAAGGCAACAGTTGCTTGCATGCTTTTGATGTAAATCCTTTATTTCGTTGATTCCAAACTCTCAAGCATCCGTCAGTTACATAAAAAAGGAATCGACTTTCATCAGACCAATGTATTCTTCGCCAAGTCCTCTCATTCCCTGTATTTTCTGACAACTGTGAAGTGGATGTTTATTTCCCGACCAAAATGTTTAAAGGACCTACTGGAGTTATGCATGCCAATAATTTGGCATTTGAAAATCCTCTTCGTACCATATAGCGAAAGATTATTGAACATTGTAACCCATGCCGTTTAAAGACACGTGGCACGTACACAAACTGCACTTGTGAATATTCGTGGGTTTGTTCCTGGACATGCTACACGAGGCGTGTTTGGAAGGCACATTCCACCAGGTACACTTGCAATGATTTCTTAAATGAACATCGTTACCATACGTACCGTCATACAACAGCTGAATTTGAACATAGTTGTGTTGGCGGCCAACATATTTAGGGGTGTAGGGGTTCAATTTGTACATCTTCAAAAGAACTCCTCACTGAACGTGTAATATGAATAAGTAATCAATCAATCAATCTACGCTTCTGTGTATGTTAAATGAGGCAATAAATTTCAACTTTTATGTATTGGGGAGTAACGCTACTGCCTACCATACATTTCAGGCGGTATCCTTATTGACTCAGTCAGTAAGCTTACTGACTAACCTTAGGCATCGTGCTGGGTGGGTGCCATCTATAACCCCAACCACTCCGGGGAATTAGCGATACCATAGAAACCAAGTTGGTTTCTTCGGATTTCAGTCGGACTGGTAGGAAACGAAACGAACTGTCGAACAATGGCAGGGGCAGACATAGCAGTTATTGTTTGGTTAATGGCCCTATTCACTGAAGACTGTGAAACTCCAATGTGGTCCGCATTACACAGCTTTATTTTGCCCGTGGTAAAGTCACGCAGCGTCAGTAGAACTTTATCAGTAGCTGATAAAGGATTACTTCTTTGAGTCACAGGTGAAATTTCAGTTGACATGAGACTTGCTATAAATTGAATACCATCTTTGGATAATCTAAATCTTCGTGTCAACTCGCTTTCTGTGTCTTTTTCTAAAATGTTGGTTCTATCCATGAATGCATTGGCGGCCATCTTTGTTTAGTTTAAGAAAATTCTTAATGTTTTAAGTAACCTATGGAGGATTCTTAAGTTATGAAAAAATCTGAAGCACTAAGACGTTTGATGAATATTGCTTAAGCAAAAATCTTAGTTTTAGATAGGTTTCTATGGAAACTTTGAATTCTTAGTAGATTTAAGAGTTCTTAAGGCTTAAGAATATTCTAAGTAGTTTAGTGAATCCGGCCCCAGTTCTCTTATTGACTAAGCAGTACCTTATTGGCTAGGCAGTAACGCTACTGACGGAGTTTCCTTATTGACGCTAGCATATGTATTTGCACCAGTGATTCTTTTCACATCAAATCGTAATTTGTGGTTGTACCAAACGTCGCGCTTATTGTTTGCATTTACGTACTTAATAAAAACACAGACGGATAGACAGACAGACAGACAGATTTTATTTGTATATATGGCCCGGAGGCCGACAGGACAATGTAAATATATTGTATTCTACCATGACTTCAGTAAACACTGGATTGTGATTGGTTAATTAAAGTCATTCAGAGGTATATAATCACGTTATACAGGTCTCTGTTTTCCGTGCGCAATCATACATGGTTTACGGTAATGCACTATTTGTGTCTGCCCACCAACATGGCGGACACCAAACAACCTACCGATGCATCAATAAACGGCGATTTTACTGTTGGAAATTACACATATGTCTTTAAAGATGGATTTAGCGATGACGGGCTCGACTTACTACTTGCGTAAATCACAGCAATAGGTGTTTATACATACAAAAGTACTTCGAAAGCATGGAAACAAATATTCAGTCGAACAAGATCAAAACATCGTCTGCTTTCCGAATAAAAATTCAGCAAAAACAAATATGTTTGCGTTGATTCTATGTTATGTCAGAATAGATCCAGTAATAGACTGCTACATAATTTCCGTGTTAAATTTATTATCAGCTTTCGTCAACGATATCGCCACTGATCTAGATCCGGCAACGGAGGATGCAATAACATCGAACGCCGAAGACTGACTGACTGAATTTGGTTTTACGCCGCTTTTAGCAATATTCCTGCAATATCAGGGCGGGGGACACCAGAAATGGGCTTCACTCATTGTACCCATGTGGGGTACAACGCTTTAACCACTAGACTACCCTACCGCCCCCGAACGCCGAAGGAATTCCGTCCACATAAATAAACAGTTGGGTTATCAATTCAAACAAAATGATATTTTGAAATTTGTACTGTTTCAAATTTAGCGGTAGTAAAACACAATTACAGAATCTGCAAACCGTTCTGTTGAGCCCAACATATTCTTTTTCTAAAAGTAATATCGTTGAAAAAGTTATTTAGCTTAGTCATGATCCCTCTTATCCATTACACTGCTTGATCTAAAGTAGTCTATTAAAGTATAATTAATTACCTTACCGTGTTTATGCCAGAGGTACACCCTTATGTCCTGATCCATCCTTTCGGAAATATCACCACAAATCTGGCTCTTTGTCAACAGACTCGCGAACATGCCAGCGAATCCGATTCAATTTGAATTCACTACACTTTGAAGCCACTAGGTCACAAAACACTTTCCAAAATGTTGAAAATAATATCCGTAGAATCAAATTTGAGCACAAAGTACACACATGAGTGTGTAAGAGTCACCACAGCTGTCGCACGCAGACGTAGAGGTGCGTGAAATCGTCAAGTTGACAGGGCGCAAAATTCAACAGTATCTAAATTCGCTACAACACGGACTTCTCGTTACAGCAAAAGCGCCTCTACTCTTAAATTTTGTACCAGTACCAGTAGTTAGATATCAAAGACTATCTCAGTCATACAATCAGGTTAACCTTGCGCAAACTGTCAGATGCTCTCCTGTCGCATCTTTCCAAATTTGCACGTAAATGTAAACAATGACTTCCGAGAAAAGGTCAAGGCCATGAGGTTGCTGCCATTATTCTGGTGGGGTTAGGGTCTACGGTGGAATTTTCAAATGTGAACCAAGCTTTTTAAACTTATTTGATGTATGTTTTCCAACTTATCAGTTAATGATTGATGATTGATGCATTGAAAAAACAAAACGTGATTTGTTATTACTGAATCTGGAGTTTGTTAGTCATTGGCGATTTGCCACCAATCACCCCGTTTCGGGCGATGCCACTTGAGATTGGAATGCGAGGCCGCTTCACGTATTGACTCGTAGCCAAAGAAAGAGCTCCACCTTAAACTGTTCATAAAATTATCATGGTAGAATGGAGATAAACCTACTGTGTGGGAAAATCAGAGGTATATAACGAAATTATAATAGCTCTGAATTGTTCATTTAAAACCTCACGCTACGCGTTCGGTTTTAAATGAAATTTAGAGCTATTATAATTTCGTTATATACCTCTGATTTTCCCACACAGTAGGTTTATCTCCTAAATGGGCACAGTGACAGCGCTACCATGCAATACGACGTAAATAGTATACCATAGATAGGCAATGTTATGGGAAATATACAGTTATTGTTGATTTGATATATTGCGATTTATATGGTATAGTATTAAGGCTAACTTGTACAGTAGTTGCACGTCATTCGTTGTTAAAACAGCAATATTTTTGTTTCTTTTGATGGTTGTCTACATAGATGTAAAGGTAAGTATTTATATCTTAAGAATGAATATTTAGGACATTCTAAAAGTACATGGTATTCATCCTCTGTGAGGTTACAATGATCACAAGTGGTAATTTGAGCATACGGGTGTTTAGAAAACCTTGCAGCTGTTATCTTAAAATCATGGCCCTTCTGAACATAGTTACGATTCTGCGTAGATGGATAGGTGTTAGAGACGATAGATACAATTCAGGTTTGATAAAGGATTTAAACTCAGCACAATAACTAATACTACTAAACAAACGAACGTCATGGAACCATTCCTGCTGCTATATATCTTTGCATCGTTGTTTGAACATTTTAAAAAACTAATCCCTGTTGCCAACATCTTGTGCGATCTATACATGGCCAAATCCACATTTAAACAATAATTCACGTACAGATGAGACCCAGTTTAATCTCCCGTACCATCTAATTTCTTTAGAAGTTCGTAACTGTTTCTGGATATTCTGTTAAGAGGCTGTCTGATCAATGTTATCCAAAACGATAGTACTCGGCAACGACCATTGATGACTAGCGGGAGGCGTCCACTTTCTGCAAGTATAATTTTAGTAGCAGCTTTATATCCACTTTTCAAAATGAATTTACAGAGTTTAGTATGAACTTTTTCTATATTCTTGTTACTTTTAATCCCCAAACTTCCGATCGATATAAAAGAATTGTTGGATTTTTCCGTCAAACAATTTGAGTGAAGACTCAAAGGAAAAAATCTTATATCTACAGAAAAAACGCTTCACAACGTACAGTGCTCTTTCTGCTTGCATTGCAAGTGTCTCACAAGCTCTGGAGAAAATATTTCTACAACAGAACACAATTCCTAGATACTTACAACCTCTATTTGGCTATCACAAATATGCCATTTTTCACAGCATTTTACTTCCGTTTTTGAATGCTATAAGTTTCGTTTTGTTCATGTATATTGAGAGACCCCACTTCAAACTGTATTCCTTTAAAACATCAATCTTTCGCTGCAAGTTAATAACTGAGTCCGAAAATATAGCTACGTCATCCGCGAACAATAATATTGATATCTCGTGGATTATTTCATTAATGAGTATGCCCCTTGTGTCATTAGCTAATATTTCTTTTCCAAGTTTTTCTATACATAGCAAGAATAGTATTGGTGACAAAACGCAACCCTGTCGAAGACCAGAATACGTATCAAATATATCTGTCATCTCATATTTACTAGTTCTGGCAGAAGCTTTTGACATAAATAAGTTTGGATCTATCCACAGAATCGAATGCCTTGTGGAAATCCACAAATAAGCAATAATAGCTTCCTCCCTTCGTACACAAATATTTATGTACAAGACTGCTAAAAACACAAATACCGCTTAAAAGATATTTTCATAAACACTATAAAATTATAATAATTCCCACGAAATAGAAACCACTCGAACTGTCAACAAGTCTCATGCTTGGTAATTTGGTAACTACAACAGTCGATATTTTATGAGCACATCTGTTCACTGACCAATGACCAGAAATTACACACAACGATAATTATTGATATGTATCTATACAGTTTTACTGCATAAAGCTATTGGCAGTGCAAACATTTACTCACCGCGTATTGGATAGCAATAACATCATTTTACAAAGGGCCGTGCCAAATAGGTGAAAATAATATTTCCAGAGCTCTCACTCAGTTAAGGTGTTGGCGTTAACGTCACAGTACGTAAACAT